TGCGCACATTCAAATTCTTCTATATATTTTTTTAAAACTTCTAATTTAAGCAAGGATAGTTTGTAATGTTGCTATGGGTCTTTATTAAACTAAAAAAAATACCATATACATTAATAATGGTATTCTCTTTAAAAATCTTGCTTTCATCGTAGGAAAATCGGTTTTTTAGCCAAAATTCAGATATTTTTAAAATTCAAAGTGATACAGCATGATTAATTTTTGCCCGATTTAAATAAAATGTACCCTATTTGTAGCTCTATTTATCTACTTTATAGTGTTAAAATTTCAATGCAATCAAAAATTGAATGAGAGTAGTGCTGCCGTGCTAAGCTAAACCCCCGTATCTGCAATATTAAATAAAAGATCATTTTCATTGTTAAAAACAATAAAAACTATGTTTTGTCCTTTATTATTTAATATTGCAGATACAGGGGTTTAGCTTGTTATGTTAGTAGAGTATTGAGAGCAGCAGCAGATACTCTACTCAAACTCTCATACAATAAAACTAATAGAAAAAAAAAAACAATAATATTTTTGACATCTTCTTATTAGACATACTTAAAATCAGGTCTAAAATCCTAGGCACAAAAATTGTCCACTTAAATAGGCTCTGTGAATATTAATAGCTATTCATGGTGTTGAAAAATTAATAGTAAAATTTTGGCGCATATTTGAGCTCTTATTATTAATATTAAGGTTTGCCTCAATTCATTTTTTCCACTTCAATAACACGGAAATTTTTATTTTTTAAATTTTAAATTCTTATAACTTTGGAATGGTTTGTTTTCGCAACACCCAAGCGAGAGGACAATATATAGACAATTTCACGCTCTACAAAAAACATCTGAAGGTCAAAGTTCTTCAGGTCAACCGTTTCAAAGATATCAGCGATCAAAAATAAAACTAATAAAAAATTTCAAATATTTTCAAATAAAATTAAAAAAAATATCATATGCCATATTTATATTATTTTTTATGTAAAATCGAGTGTAAAATCACTTTAATTCTTTAACCTGAGACTGTAAACTTTTTTTTATGTACATATGACATATTATATGTATATGTATATATATATATACAGCCTGTTCAGAGAAAAACCGAATATATCTATATATATATGGGGCGTGGCTTCGCCTCCCTCCAACGCGCGACACAGTAGCTAAGCAAATAGCCTGCATCGCTAATGGGATTTTTTGCATTATTATCATTTAATTTTTTAAGTCCTTACCTGCTCGACCTTTCGTCATGTCGTTTATCACACAAGCTACTGTGACGCGCCTTGGAGGGAGGCGAGGCCACGCCCCATATATATACAGCTCGTTCAGACTAAAACCGAATATATCTATATATATATGGGGAGTGGCCACGCCTCCCTCCAACGCGCGTCACGGTAGCTAAGCAAATAGACTGCATCGCTAATGAGATTTTTTGCATTATTATCATTTAATTTTTTAAGTCCTTATCTTCTTGACCTTTCGTCATGTCGTTTATCACACAAGCAACTGTGACGCGCCTTGGAGGGAGGCGAGGCCACGCCCCATATATATATAGATATATTCGGTTTTACTATGAAGTGGCTGTATATGTATAATATACATTGTATATATATATATATATATATATATATATATATATATATATATATATATATATATATATATATATATATATATATATATATATATATATATATATGTACCTTTATATAAATAAAAAAAAAGTTTACAGTCTTAGGTTAACAGAATTAAAGTGATTTTACATAAAAAATAATATAAAAATACATATGATATATTTTTGTATTTTATTTGAAAATATTTGAAATTTTTTAGTATTGTTATTTTTGATCGCTGATATCTTTGAAACGGTTGACCTGAAGAACTTTGACCTTCAGATGTTTTTTGTAGAGCGTGAAATTGTCTATAACTCCTCTCGCTTGGGTGTTGCGAAAACAAACCATTCCAAAACTATAAGAATTCAAAATTAAAAAAATTCCCGTGTTATTGAAATGGAAAAACAACAAATGAATTGAAACCTTAATATTAAAATTAAGGGCTCAAATATACGCCAAAATTTTTGTTTTTTAATGTACTATTAATTTTTTAACACCATAAGAAAAAAAAATAATTTTATTTTTTTTTGAAACACCCTAATGTATATGGTATTTTTTTTACAGTTTAATAAAGACCCATATCAACATTATCAATATAAAAAAATGGTTTTTTGTCTATATCGCAAAAACAAGAGCTGATTGAGAAAAATGATGGTCATTTTTGGATTCGGCATACTCAAATTACCCTAAAAAAGTTGTTGTCTACCCTGCACCAAAATGGCTGTCGGATTTTTTGCAATATCTCGAAAACAAGAGCTAATTGAGAAAAATTATGGATATTAACATATACAGGGTGGTCCAGGATTAATCTGAAAAATTTTAATAATCAATAGAGCCTGAAAAAACAATAAAAACAAACCCAAAAACATTTTTCAAAAATACACACTAACACACTATAATAGCCCTTCAAAGGCAAAAAAACGTTTTTTTTAAATAACTTTTAAACCATTTAACCGATTCTGCTCAAATTTTGTGTGGGTAAAATTTTTTACAAAAGGCCCAGCGGCGGAGATTTTGGGGGGGTTTCCCCTTTTTACCCCCATATTTCGACACCACTGGATTTTATTGGAAAATCATCAGATTTCTTATTCAATTTAAAAGCAAAACTTTTGTGTTAAATTTTCATAAGATCAGTGGTTTTGGAGATATTTGACTTTAAAATTTCAAAATCACCGAGTACACGGAATTTTATCATAATATTTTATTTTAAATCGGTAACTTGGTAACAATTATGCCACGTTATCAGTTTAGCAACATCGAATATGCAGATATTCATTATGTGTATGGACTATGTGATGGAAATGCGCTAGCGGCAGTTAGGGAGTACCAAAAACGTTTTCCCAACAAAAGAATACCCAACGTTTAAGTTTTCATCGACTCTCACCAGAGGTTTCGAGACTTTGGACTACGAAATAATAATGAACAAAATGTACGTGAACCAAGATTAAGACGACGGAATAGAAATAGGATACTGGGACCTTTTCAAAATGATCCAGGGTTGAGCTTCCGGAAAGCTGCTTTAAGACTGAATACCTCAAAGTAAAATATTTTAAGAGTTCTACATGACGACCACCAAAAACCTTATCATTACCGCCCGGTTCAAAATCTTCTTCCTTGAGATGCAGTGAGATGGATGGCATTTTGTAGGTGGGTCCTGGAATCAGCAGAAGAAGGCCCAATTTTGTTTCACAATATCCATGCTTGGATAACCCAAAAGCAATACGACAGAAGTGCCTTCAACAACAAACTTTGGATGCTGGGGGAATACATTTTGAAAATTTATTATAATTTGTTACAAGCTACTGTTACTGTTATAATTTTTTAGAAAGTTACCGATTCAAGATAAAATATTATAAAAATAAACTAGCGTCTAGGAGTCATCGTGCAGTTGTTACTGATCCCGTCATATTTTTAGGTTGTTTTATTGTAACGTTGATTGAGAATTACAATCAACGTTTGTAATTAATAATTTAATTGTATTATAATAGCTATTTTCGCGGAGCTAATCCCGAACTAATTCCGGACATCTTAGGCATGCGCTTTTTAAAATTTGGGGTTCAAAATGTAAAGTGCGCATGACAAATATTAAAATGCGCATGCCTAGGATGTCCGAGCTAGTTCGGGATTAGCACCGCGAAAACACCTAATACAAAATCAAACCAACCCAAAAACCACCCTATTGAAAGCGATTATTCCATTGGTAAATTTTTATTAGCCAAAACATACGTTCAAAAAAAATAATTTTTTATTACTAAAATAATAACAATAGTTCCGTGTACAGTGTTATCTCATATATATCTCCGAAACCACTGATCTCATAAGAAATTAACATTGCTTTTACATTGAAAAATAAATCTGATGATTTTCTAATAAAATCCAGTGGCGTCGAAAATATGATGGTAAAAAGGGGAATCCTCCCAAAATCTTTGCCACTGGGCCTTTTGTAGGAAATTTTCATTATATTATCGACGGAAACTTAACCTACACAAAATTTGAGAAGAATCGGTTTAATGGTTTAAAAATTATTTTAAAGGACTATATCTCCGTTAGTATGCATTTAAAAAAAATGTTTTTGGGTTTGTTTTTATTGTTTTTTCAGGCTCTATCGATCATTAAAATTTTTCAGATTAATCCTGGACCACCCTGTATATAACAAATGAATTGAGGCAAACCTTAATATTAATATTAAGGGCTCAAATATACGCCAAAATTTTTGTTTTTTAATGTACTATTAATTTTTCAACACCATTAGAAGAAAAAATAATTTAATTTTTTTTTTGAAACACCCTAATATATATGGTATATTTTTACAGTTTTATAAAGACCCATAGCAACATTATCAACTATCCTTGCTTAAATTAAAAGGTTAAAAATATATATATTTAAGCATTTGAATGTGCGCATATAAAAAAATGGTTTTTTGTCTACATCGCAAAAACAAGAGCTGATTGAGAAAAATGATGGTCATTTTTGGATTCGGCTTACTCAAATTACCTTATAAAAGTTGTTGTCTACCCTGCACCAAAATGGCTGTCGGCCAGTGTAATTACTACTAATTAAAATTTATATCGGACACAAAACGGATTTTTTGCAATATCTCGAAAACAAGAGCTAATTGAGAAAAATTATGGATATTTTTATGATTAGGCATTTTCAATTTCAATTTGTTGACTACCCTGCAGCAAACAAGAATTTTTATTTTTTTTTGACAGAAGTTATAGATTCATTGAACTGTGATGGTATTTTTTTCTAGTTGATAAAAAACATAGGATTTAAGTAAAAAAAAATTTTAATTGTTTTAAGACTTAATGTAAATAAAATAATGACACAGGTAGCTTTTATCAATTAAAGTTGTTGTTAAGCATCTAAATGGGTCTAAGTGGGTACTTACGCGATCATGATAGCCGCCTTGTTGGTGGTCCTTTTGGCGCGGTAAGTGAGCGGTCTGGTGACGGAAAAGTATCTGTCGAAGCTGATGATGAGCAGATTGAGCACGGAGGCATTGCTGGCCAGATAGTCGAGCGCCAGCCAGGTGTCGCAGATGAACGGTCCTAGCGGCCAGTAGCCGAGAAGGGTGGAAACGGTGAACAGCGGCATCGAAATCAAACCGATTGCGAAATCGGCCATGGCCAACGAAAACAAAAAGTAGTTGCTGATAGTTTGTAGTTGCTTGTCTATTTTGAAGGAGATCATTACCATAATGTTACCCACTACGGTAATGACAGATAAAATTGCCGCTGAAACAAAAAACTCATTTAATTTATGTTATAATTTTAATAATGCAAATATTGAAAAAAGTATTTTTTACCATACCATAATTGTTATCTATATGACCCAACCAATCGGAGTGTTAATTTATTTTAACTTGAAAAGTTAATTTGGACTTAAGTCACCAAAAAAGAAATACGAAATACCAAAACTAAATATATTAATTGAATGGTGTTATGCAACAGGGAACCATTTCTCTTATATTATAATAAAAAAGCGGGATAAATGTATTCACGTAATGGGACCACCTTTTCAAAATATTTTAAAGAAATAGAACATGCGGAAAAATACTGAATTAAAATATTCACAATAATATAGAACTCTGAAATCATAGTTTTTAAATCTCAACAAAGCTTTAAGCTGCATGGATGTGCCAACTTTCCCTTATATATTGAAATTGTGAAAGGTTATACAGCACCAAGCGGCTTGGTTAACGTTACTTTTGACTAAACGCAATATATTTATACTGCAACAAGGATCCATGCTAAATGTTGGATAAAAATAAACCAATGGTTTTATATGACAAAATCAATATTTCCAAAAAAATAAAAGAAGATCAGGAGGATCTCAAAGCTAAAATTAAAAGATTTAAAATCTATTTAACACCTTATTCCAAATGATGTTTTCCATGTTATAATAAAACAATAGGCAATAACTATCAGTTTTATTTATTCTACAAGGGACCAACCAACAAATTTACTTATTTTATTGAAAATAATGAAAAAAAGTATTATAAGAAATAAAACTTTAGTATTAAATTAGCGATATGAAAATAAAATTAAAACGTTGAATCTATAATTAAGACCACAGTAATGAAGGAACCACGTAATTTTTCGGACGCTATTATCTTAGTTTTGCAACAGTGAGGGTTGGTTCCCTGTTGCATAACACCATTCAATTATAGTACGTATTAACAGAATCCAAATGTTTCATAACAGCAACCAAAAGTTTTATTATTATTATTATTATAATATTATAATATTTTTACAAAGTGTCTATTTAAAAACAAGCAATGCTTCATAAGTCTTGACATAAAAAAAATATCAAACATTTCTCAAAACCGTTTCTAGGATATGTAAGGGCAATCAGTATGACCACAAAAATGAACTTTACTAAGCAACCGCTGGGGCTGTCACCCCCTCAATTTTTTTAAATGGCAACGCCCTCTTTGTGATACAATGGCGTAACTACCACCGGTCCTAATGGTTTCAGAGACCGGGGCCCCGAGGACCAGGGGGCCCCAGAAGTGGCAAGAGAATTTTTTTTATCTAAATATAAGAAAAATGTTCAATATGAAAAATTAATTTTGTTTTTTTGTAATAATAAATATTCGTTGGCTGCTTGATATTATATTTTTATTGTGTTCTTTTTTTTTCAAATTTTTGATCTCAAAATTTGGAATCAAATATTTTGAAATAAACAAAGGTTAATTGAAATTTGAAATTACAAACCTAGAATCAAAAAGTCGAAATCGAATACTTACATCGAAAGTCTAAAATTTTGAATAGGGTATATACATTCTTAGTCAAAAATAGAAATTCAGAGATGAAAAAATAAAAATGAAAAATTTGCAATCTAAAAGAAGAAATTTTCGATTTCACTATATAAATTAATATAGCATACATATATATATGTTTGCAATGAGACAGTTTGAAATATGGGAATAAAAATATTCTTTGAAACGTAGATCTGATTTGAGTATTATACCATAAAAATAAAATGTTTTACGTGAATAACACTAGATCCTTTTTTTTCAACATCATTTGTATCCGTACCTTGAATAATACATCCCTTCCATCTTGAGCAATAAATATTATTGTGTAAGGGTGTGGTGGTTGCAGTGGGAAAAGTTTAAATGATTCAAAAATTTAAATGGTCAAATTTATTTTGAAATGTTATATAAAACAATACAACCACTAATTATAAATGAACTAGAAAATTAAATAAGAGAGAATTATGAACTAGCTTTGGATAAAAATGTATTACAGTTGCAACAAGATGGGGCACCACCTTATTATGTGGTAGCTGTTAGGGCTTGCTGAATCAGAATTATCCAGAACAGTAGATTGGTAGAAGAGGACCAATAGAATGGCCTCCCAGATGTACAGATCTGACACCATTAGACTTTATCTTACTTAAAATCTGTGGTCTACTAAACTCAGCCTCATTCTATTGAAGATCTGCGACAATAGTTCAAAAATGCCGAGCTATTCCACGACAAACATTTTAAAATGTTCGAAGAGAATTTGAGAATAGACTTTACTATTGTTTATTTTAAGTATTTAATTTAAAAAGCTAAAAATTAAATTGTTTATTTATGCTTTTTTAGTTTATTATATTTTTGTTGTTAATATTTTGTGTTTTCCAGATTTTTTACTAATGTTTTTACAATAAAAAATTATTTTGCGTATTTCTCAAAGAATCAAACTATTAAAAATATTTTGTTTTGTACTGTTGAAAAGTAATTTTAAAGAGGTGTCCAATGAGGTATCACAAAGAGGGTGTTGCCATTTAAAAAAAATAGAGTTGATGTGGCTACAGCCCCAAGGGTGGCTTAGTAAAGGTCATTTTTGTGGTCATACTGATTCTTCTCACATCGTAGAAACGGGTTTAGAAAATTTTGGTTAACTTTTTTAGGTCTAGACTTATAGAGCATTGCTCGTATTTAAATAGACACCCTGGATATAAATAAAATCAAAACATATTTTTTAGGCTTATAATATTGTTTATATTGTATCTCTCATAAGTGTATATAGAAAGACTTCATATTAATACTAGTTCAAACCCAACCTTCAAATGATCATTCAAAATCTCAAAGAAATATTTTAATTAAGTGCTTAAAAAACCCTAAATAAAACCCGGCGACGAAAGATAATTGCCTCGAACACAATCTACTGCTTTGGATGTCGCCGAGGTATGTAATAGGCTATATAATATGTTCTAAGCGTTTTTTATCTATTTATATTAATTATCACCTCGATTATCGCCAGATTTTTAATAAATTAATAGTTTATAAATGTTACTGCTGGTTATTTTTAAAATGATTCGTGTAAATAAATGCTGTATAACAAAAATCAAAAAATTATTAGGAATAATAATAATAATAGTATTACCTTTATTATTTTTTAAAACTTTGGTGATTTTTCTTAGTCAATGGCATTTATTTGGGCACAAGACTCATTTTTTAGAAATTACCAACTGGCAGTAACCATATAATACTAATTTATTAAAGGTGTAATAATTTATATAACTAAATAAAAAACGCGTAAAACAAAGAAATATAATTTTAGGATTCACCTTAAGGGCTAGGTAGCTTGTAAAATATTTTTTAATTAAACTCGCACGTCGACTAATATTATCTAATACATGTGGCCAAAAAAAACTGATTTTTTGATCAAGAAGTAAAATCTTTTCTAAAAATATACAAGTATACATTTCATTAGATGCATAAAAAACTAGCTAGTTTATACATTAACCTGAAAAGTGTACTTTTTAATGCGTACATTTAACAGGAAATGCCTACATTTACCACAAGTATCAAGTAAAAGTATAATACAGTAACTAGCTTGTGGTACGTGTAATGTTAGTAAAAGTATGGGACAAATGTATACTTATACTTATACTTACACATAAAAAAATCTAATATAGTACATCGCTGTCATTGAATGCATTAAAATTGAAGCAATCTAAACTGTTATTTGCTCAATTAATTACTATTAAACCAAAATAGGGAAACATTCTGCCTAAATGTCAAAGAATTTATTGCGTTAAATGTATACATAGTATACATAATCAAATTAGTTTTTAATGCAATAACATTCTAACAATTAAATATCAATAAATATATCAATAGATTTAGGAGCGATAACTTTTGTTGTTAATTTAAAAACAGTAACCGATTTTAAACCAAGTGCTAACTACCTATTGGTATTATGGGAATACGGATTACAAGATCCCATTGGTTTAATGGCTCACCCATTCATGCTATGCTAGCATTTTTTCTCTGTATAAATGCATACATTTACTAATGGTTGGTTTTATGTGTTGGATTGGTTGGATGGTTGTTTTGGTTATTTTTATGGGTGAAGTTGGTTGGTTGGGTGGTTGGTTTTGTGGGTTGGGTGGTAAGTTTAAGTTTATGTACACTTTTACTACCTTTATGGCGTGTATGTATACATACTAGAAAGTAAGTAAGTTAATGAGCTTGTGAATACATTAAAATTAGTTATTGCATACATTAGCTAGTCAGTGTATATATTTACGAAATTTACACATTCACTGTAGCATATACAGGGATGGTAATGTGTTCTTAGGTCGTTTAATAAATAAAGACAAATGCATTATGAGACGTGGGAGTGGTGGAGTGACGTAAGAGTAGTGGGGCAAGCCAGACCGCGCCGCGCGGCTACGATCATCGCCCGACCGCAGACAAGAGAATGTGTTGTAAGTAAGCGGTAGTACGTTTGTTATCAATTAGGAAATATTCTCTAATAAAAATGGTTTACACCCTTGAAGAAAAGATTCAATTTATAACGTGGCATTTAAATGGGATCTCAGATCAAGAAATTCAAAGATTATTTCCAAATATGTTCCCAAATAGACCCTTACCAGCAAGGGCAACAATTCAAAATGTTGTAAATAATTTTTTAACATTCGGCAGTGTTAATAGGGTTCATAATAGGGAACCGCAAGCAAGGCCAGTAAATGAAGAACGCGAATTACGGGACACTTTAATTTGTGCAAGCATCGAACAAGATCCAACCCAGCATGGATATCACCCATATAAATTAAAGAGGAGTAATGAGCTATTTCCTGATGATCCATACCGTCGCATGGAATTTTGCGAAACCGTTATAGAAATGGCGAACCGGGATGAAAATTTCACACGAAATATCCTTTTTACCGATGAGTCGTCATTTTTTATACATGGTAGGCATAATTCCATGAACCATCGGTATTGGTCCAGGAC